AGGAGCTGGGCAGAAGGAGCTGGGAATGAAGAGCTGGGAAGGAGGAGCTGGGAAGGAGGAGCTGGGAAGGAGGAGCTGGGAATGAGGAGCTGGGAAAGAGGAGCTGGACTGGAGGAGCTGGACTGGAGGAGCTGGGCGGGAGGAGCTGGGAATGAGGAGCTGGGAATGAGGAGCTGGGAATGAGGAGCTGGGAATGAGGAGCTGGGAAGGAGGAGCTGGGAATGAGGAGCTGGGAATGAGGAGCTGGTCTGGAGGAGCTGGGAATGAGGAGCTGGGAATTAGGAGCTGGGAAGGAGGAGCTGGGAATGAGGAGCTGGGAAGGAGGAGCTGGGAATGAGGAGCTGGGAATGAGGAGCTGGGAATGAGGAGCTGGGCAGGAGGAGCTGGGAATGAGGAGCTGGGAATGAGGAGCTGGGAATGAGGAACTGGACTGGAGGAGCTGGGATGGAGGAGCTGAGCAGAAGGAGCTGGGAATGAGGAGCTGGGAAGGAGGAGCTGGGAATGAGGAGCTGGGAAGGAGGAGCTGGGAAGGAGGAGCTGGGAAGGAGGAGCTGGGAATGAGGAGCTGGGAAAGAGGAGCTGGACTGGAGGAGCTGGACTGGAGGAGCTGGGCGGGAGGAGCTGGGAATGAGGAGCTGGGAATGAGGAGCTGGGAAGGAGGAGCTCGGAATGATGAGCTGGGAATGAGGAGCTGGACTGGAGGAGCTGGGAATGAGGAGCTGGGAATGAGGAGCTGGGAAGGAGGAGCTGGGAATGAGGAGCTGGGAAGGAGGAGCTGGGAATGAGGAGCTGGGAATGAGGAGCTGGACTGGAGGAGCTGGGAATGAGGAGCTGGGAATTAGGAGCTGGGAAGGAGGAGCTGGGAATGAGGAGCTGGGAAGGAGGAGCTGGGAATGAGGAGCTGGGAATGAGGAGCTGGGAATGAGGAGCTGGGCAGGAGGAGCTGGGAATGAGGAGCTGGGAATGAGGAGCTGGGAATGAGGAACTGGACTGGAGGAGCTGGGATGGAGGAGCTGAGCAGAAGGAGCTGGGAATGAGGAGCTGGGAAGGAGGAGCTGGGAATGAGGAGCTGGGAAGGAGGAGCTGGGAAGGAGGAGCTGGGAAGGAGGAGCTGGGAATGAGGAGCTGGGAAAGAGGAGCTGGACTGGAGGAGCTGGACTGGAGGAGCTGGGCGGGAGGAGCTGGGAATGAGGAGCTGGGAATGAGGAGCTGGGAAGGAGGAGCTCGGAATGATGAGCTGGGAATGAGGAGCTGGACTGGAGGAGCTGGGAATGAGGAGCTGGGAATGAGGAGCTGGGAAGGAGGAGCTGGGAATGAGGAGCTGGGAAGGAGGAGCTGGGAATGAGGAGCTGGGAGGGAGGAGCTGGGAATGAGGAGCTGGGAATGAGGAGCTGGGAATGAGGAGCTGGGAATGAGGAGCTGGGAATAAGGAGCTGGGAATGAGGAGCTGGGAATGAGGAGCTGGGAATGAGGAGCTGGGAATGAGGAGCTGGGAAGGAGGAGCTGGGCAGGAGGAACTGGGAATGAGGAGCTGGGAATGAGGAGCTGGGAATGAGGAGCTGGGAATGAGGAGCTGGGAATGAGGAGCTGGGAATGAGGAGCTGGGAAGGAGGAGCTGGAGCTGTGGTTGCTGTCGCGCCCGTCGACTCCGCGTGCTCTGTGAGCACGCACGCTCCGCTCCTGAGCGCTTTTGGTTATCGCAGGAGCTGAGGTGGCTGCTGCTGAGGCTGCTGCTGAGGCTGCTGCTGAGGCTGCTGCTGAGGCTGCTGCTGAGGCTGAGGCTGCTGCTGAGACTGCTGCTGAGGCTGAGGCTGCTGCTGAGGCTGAGGCTGCTGCTGCTGAGGCTGCTGCTGCTGAGGCTGCTGCTGCTGAGGCTGCTGCTGCTGCTGAGGCTGCTGCTGAGGCTGAGGCTGCTGCTGCTGAGGCTGCTGCTGCTGAGGCTGCTGTTACTTGAGGCTGAGGCTGCTGCTGCTGATGCTGCTGCTGAGGCTGCTGCTACTTGAGGCTGAGGCTGCGGAGGCTGAGGCTGCGGAGGCTGAGGCTGCTGAGGCTCAGCGTGTTGCGGAGGATGAGCGCGTGTGTGGGTGATGGGGGTGTGTGTGCATGATGGGTGTGTGCGTGTGTGTATGTATGTATGTTTAAGGGGGGTGTGTGTGTGATGGGCTGTGTGTGGGGTGTGTGTGTGTGTGGGGTGTGTGTGTGGGGGGTAATGGGTGTGTGTGGAGTGTGTGTGTGACGGGGGGGGGGTGTGCTTTGAGTGTGTGTGTGATGGGGTGTGAGTTATTGGTGTTTGTGATGGGTGTGTGGGTGGTGGGTGTGTGGGTGATGGGTGTGTGAAAGAGGGTTGTGTGGAGTGTGTGTATGAGGAGTGTATGTGAATGTGTACGTGATTGGTGTGTGTGTGGTGTGTGTATGTGTGTGCGTTTGTATGTATGAGGGGTGTGGGTGTGTTTGATGGTGTGTGTGTGTGTGATGGGGTGTTTGTGTGTGTGTGGTGGGGTGTGTGTTGGGTGTGTGGAGCGGTAGTGTAGCGGTTAGCGCTACACTACGCTATGAACCCAGCGACCCGAGTTCGATTCCCGCTCACGGCCAACACCGCTGACGATTATCTGAACCGGTCCTGGGCCTCCCCGAGGTCGACTCAGCCTCAAATGAGTACCTGGTGCGATGTGTGAGCATCGCCACGAGGGAGACAAAGACGGTCGGGCGTGGTGCTGGCCACCCACCCCCTCGTGTGCCGTGCTCGCTAACAGCACTTGCCCCAACAGTCTGTTAAACCTATAGGGGGATCTTTGTTTTATATTTTGTATGTGTGATGGGTGTGTGTGTGTGTGTGCGATGTGTGTGTGTGATTGGTGTATGTGTGTGTGTGGGATGTGTGTGTGATTGGTGTATGTGTGTGTGTGTGCGATGCGTGTGTGATTGGTGTATGTGTGCGTGTGGGATGTGTGGGGCCAGTGTGTATTTGTAAGAGAGTGCGATGTGTCACCATCGTCATTATGGAGACAAAGGTGGTGGGGCCTGGTACTGGCTGGCCTCTAACCACCGTGCTCGCTAACAGCACTTTCCACCCAATAGTCTGTTCAAGGCAACGCGTAATTCCGTGTTGTGTTGAGTATGCGCGTGTAACTCTATGGCCATGCCTGTTATTTTTGTATTTCTGTTCCACATGACCTCAAAACCTGGGTCAG